TTTGGCTAGACGTCCAAAAGTTTCACCTCGCTCGGAAAGGGGAGAAGATAAATGTGGCTTATAGGAGTGTCCTCTTAGCAATTAGGAGGACGTTGTAATGGATTAGTGTACTTTTCTTTTGCTGACTTGTTGAGTTTTTATGCCAGTGCGCATTGGCTTCTATGGCTTTTCGATTGTTTTATGTGGGATTTGTACACAGTGATAGTGTTCTTATCGCTACATCTTTCTTCTGCTTGTTATAATATTATATTTGCTCGTACATCTTTGGGCCTATTTGATTTAGTAAAAAATGTTATCGTTGCTTTTGAGACTGCTTTTGCCTCTCCTCTTTGTTTATTGTTGCCCCATCTCTTAGGATGTTACAACGTGTTGCCCAATTTTTGGGCTCCTATCTCACGACTTCTGCCTGCTAGCACCCAACTTATGGGCATGCGTTGTCCCATCTTTGCAATAGGAGCATAGTGACATCGAACTGTTTTGAGTCTTATGTCTTTTGACGATTGTGTCTTTCGAGGTTTAGGTGAATATTTACTTTTTGAGGTTTGTAGCTTTTTGAGATTTTTAATGTACCTGTACCTTATGTGGCTTGTATTTTTTTGAGGTTTTTGATTTATCTTTACATTTTAGAGCTGTGGCTTTATGAGGTTTTTGAGTGGTGACACTGTCAACCATTTGCTCTTATAGTTTTTTTAGTGAGGACCCAACCCAAGACTAGCTTTCCTTCGAGACTTCCTCGTGTGCGTTCCTTCAAGGGATATAAGTGAAGATTGTCTTCCAATAAGAAAGTTCGACTTTTCCTAGGCTGTTTAATCTTTCCGCTCGACAGTTGTAGCCTGTAATAGAAAAAATCGATTGTAATCCACAAATGATGCAAGACCCGTACTAGGTTGTATAGCTGGAGATGCTCAATGATGTTAACCTTTTATGGACAAAATCAAATGAAATTCATCAAGAATATTTGACCTATCCAAGACTGCTAGCCAAAACTTTCGTTTTCGGATTGTAGCCTATTATGAAAGAGGTCGAATCGAGTCTCCTTAGGATCGATTAAGCCTAGAATGAGATGCTAGAGATTTTTTGCATTTCTCGAGATGAGCGTGGGCCAAGATGGATCAAAATTTTCTTGGAAATATGACTGTGATTATATTTTGTAAGTTTTTTTGTTGTTGCTTTTGAATTTATTATCCCCTATTGGGGACATTGTCCTTGCGAGCTTTTAAATCAGTCCATGTATCAAATCTTGAAGAGATCATCTTCTTAATCAAGCTGAGAAAGAATTCCAGCATGATTTTTGGTGGGGGGCGCTGAGGAAGCGCTAATTGACCAAATTTATTATGTCAGTGATTGATGTTAAGATGTTGACATGTGTGTCCTTTCAAAATTGTAGAGAAAAATGCCCCCCGATATGGAGTTGTTTCCTGTAGATTTGATGCTAAAATGAAACACATAATGATTATCCCCACCACTATTATGCCCGGGACGTTAACGCGAAAATCCTTTCTAGACTGCATTAAAGGTTGCTCCCAGCCTGAAACTGGTTCTTGTAGACTTGTTGTCTGAATATGATGCAGCACAATCGTGCCCAATACACTAATGTGAACACCTTTCGAGATTGCAGCGAAGGTTGCCCCCCAGCCTAAAAATGTCTCTCATAGACTGATGTCTGAAGGAGATGAGAAATGACTGCCTACTACAATGTTTCCCGAGGCGTTAATGTGAACAATCTTCCAAGATTGCAGTGAAGGATCCACCCGTCATCTTTTTGAGACTTTTATTTCTTTTGATGAAACCAAGGTGTGAGGTTTTTGACAATTCTTCACTAGTAGGGTGATGTGTATCATTGGAAAACACAACACTTGTTGGGAGTCTGATACTTGAAGATTGTGTCGAACAAGATATCCTTTCATCACAAATGGTGCCAATTTGTTGTGTGCCAGAAGATTTGCAATTGTAGAATAAAAAATTAGCATCTAAGCATTGTTAAAAAAGATAGCACCGACAGATAACAGAGGACTAACAGGAGGAGACTAGCAATTATACGTGGAAAACCCTAAAGAGGGAAAAAATCACGGAACATAGTTCAGTCAAAGTAATCCACTATGTAAATGTGAGTACTAGGTTAACTCTTCTCTTGAAATAGAGAAGATGAAATTACAAAAGTACAATAGTTGTCTGGCATTATTAGTTGCGATTGGGCTATACAACAAATGCATCTCCTGATGGCTGTAATAACCTTAGCTTGCTGTAAAGGCTGTTGTTGAAGGCCATGATAGTAGTTGACCTTATAAATCATTGTTGGTAGTTTCAGAAACGTCGATAGGCCACAAAAGCTGTAGTAGAAATTGCATCAATGGTGACTAATGTTGTATGCGAGGAGAAAATTTCATGAGTTCGGTGTCTTCATATCCTGAGTACGACTATCATAAGTTGTTGCCATTGGGAGCTATCGTTGGGTCATCAATACAACGTTATTCGTTACCCCGTATTAGGGGTAAATCAGGGTGTCATTACACTATTTTTGGAATGCATTGTTACACCGTCTTTGTGGTGTGTCGTTACACCGTAAAGTACATTATGACTCTATAAGGTGTTTCGTTTACGTCGGTACTCGGCAAGATCCACTGATGGCGCTGAGCAGAGGGCGGCGGATGGTGGTCTTCATCGGTCAGCAACTACAGGAGCAAGAAGTGTTGGTCGAGCTAAGGTTCAAAGCAGCACTAAAAATTGACTCTTACCAGTCCGACTCTACGTTTTGGTCTTCTTCTCTTTCATGAAGGGAGTAGGGTTCTATTTATAGATTTTGGGTGCAACATCATCTGTTGATAACACAAGAATCTGGACCACTCTATCAGATGACTCAGAACGATTTTCTTGATCGGATGTCATTTTGTGGATATTTGAGTACTTTAATAATGTCAAAATTGAGTGATATTAGGCTCATTGAATTCAGCTCATTGAGACACTCGATTCAACTATAAACTTGTCGGATTTGAAATTCATTTAATCCTCTGATTGACCACCCAAAATTGCCAAATTTGGTTTAATGGCTTGATCTTGGCTTGATTTGACCTGGATTGGATGAATTTTGGCGTCATTGGGTTTGTCTTTGAGAGTTAGTCATTTTGACTTTAAGCTTGCTGAAATCAGAGTTTTAGATGACTTTAAATTTGAGTTTGAACATTTTTTTGCGTAAAAAATGCCTCAAGGTTCATGTCAGATGCTTCGAGTTTTGTGCTGGATGTCAAAATTTATTGATTAAGTATCACAACTATAGTTTTTTTCCCATTTGATTGATTTATTGGAACTACTTTTTTTAGCTAAAACTAGTTAACTTTATATATTTGTTCTCACATATTATAGTCACTCGAAAGTAGCTTGAATTAGTTCATTGGTGCATTTTATCTTTATTAATCGTCTATTTTTTCTTGCCGCAACCTTTTTGGGAATCTAATGGTGTTATTAGAAGACCTGAGGCATGTTGTAGAACTCAACATATTGTCGAATTGGTTTAACTTTCAGATTACCTGTCAATCCGGCATTCAAATGGAATTAGCTGACTTCTATTCATATAGCAAACCTTTTGGCATTTGAATGTTATTAGATGATTTGATGCATGTTTCGAGACTTAAGACTAGTTGTCGAACTTATTTGACTTACTGATCACTAGTCGATTGGTTAAATCGTTCCAACCTGTCCATTAAATTGGTCAATAATTTCTTTCCATCTTAAATGTACCTACCTAAGTCTAAAGTAGTAAATGCATGCATAAACATATGCTTAGAATAAAATCAGTTATAATTTAATTTCATATCGAAAAATATTGAAATCCTCCCCGGAAATTTGCAAAATCCTGCAACAAACTAGTAAGAGCTGGTCTCCAAGTTACATATGGCCAGGTTGATTAACATCTTTTAAATGTTTTCAAACTTAGGTTCCTAGTTTAACCAGCCAGTCTGATTGGGGTTTCAAAACACTTTGAGCTTTATGATGTGTAGGAGAAAGATTTGGAAATATTAAATTAAAAGTTCAGAGTCACTGGCACAGCGGACTTCATATATCACTATACGGAAATGTATATTGGATTGGATTATTTTATATATATGTGTACCATTATATTCTGTTCGTTATCTACACCTATTCAGAACATTTCAATCTTGTTTACCTTTTGACGTATTATCATTTATCAAGTCTGTGTAGTCTATGCTAGTGTTTTACTTGGTGGTTAATTTAATTTTAACTTTGCTTAGGCCGTTGACCTGTTTCATACTTTTTTTATTATTTATCAAATTTTGCTTTTGAACTTTAGAGTCCTGTTCTATATCACACTAACGTATGCATTCTTGATCACTTTTTTTTTTATTGACATATTTGCATACATGTGGCTTTGGCATTTATTTGTATTTCAAGTTATTATTCTGATTTCAGTTTGAAGTTGCTGAATTTCCTTCTGCGTTGATTCACGTGCCACAAGTCTGTGTAGTCTATGCTAGTGATTTTGTCTTTTAAAATTTCACTAAATGCTCAGCCGGTTGGCCAGGCCCATGTATATCAGTTATTTTCCTTTCCATCATCCTTGTTCTTATCGATCAAAATCATACTGTTAATTAGAGAGAAATTCGTGTTTTCTAATATTACCTGCATGGCCTTATTCTTGATGTTTTAACGTAATATGCCCTTTTTAGATTGCTTATCATTGCAGATTCGTTTCCTTCATCCTTCTTCTTTCCAACCACTTTGATCTAGAAGATAGAATACTGCTTTTATTTTATTTTATCAATTATTATTATTATTATTTTTATTTTGGCATAGTATAGCATTTTCTTTCTCCAGTAACATTTAATTTTCTGCTTGCCAAACACAAAAAAATTACGTTGTTGAAAGGTTGGTTGTTATCAGCATACATTAACAAATAACCTTTATGTTCTCAAGAGAAACTATATACTATACCTTACTGTGATTTCATATAACAATTTTTCTTTGCTTTGATTGCCTCTATGCAGTTGACATGATGAAGCCTAATGCAACAGTTGTTGTCCGCAATGCGAAAATTGATATGTTTAAGGGATCAATGAGGCTGGCTGTCGACAAATGGGGACGCGTTGAGGTCACCGAACCTGCCAGCTTCACCATTAACAAGGATAACAACTTATCCTTGGTGGAGTACGAGTTGGTTAATGTCGAACTCGAAGAGTGAACTCAGTCCTATGTTAAATAAATCTATATGGATGGAGGGAGCTTCAAAACCCCCCTTTTTTTCCTTCTTTCGGCTTCAAGTCTTGCTTGTCTGTCAACAAGGTAAAACTTGAACAATGGAAGCAGCTTCTTTTATACAAATAGCTTTAGATTACCTTCATCTGTCACTTAGTATGGATTGTGGTGGGTTGTAAATGAACTAATTACTCAGTTACTTCAATATATTGGCTATAAATTAGAATTTAGCTTATCTAGATCTTTAAAAATGATGCGTAGATATTAGTTTGTGGCCCGAATTAAGTTATGCCGTGTATAATAACTTATTTTCTTGGCACCAACATGTCATTTGTATCGACGGTGTTCCTGAATTTTAACGCATTCGTTTGTTTATAGGCCGTCTCATTATTCTATCGCAGGGGTTAAAATTTTGAACTGTGCTAAGAATTCGATGAATATAGTGTAACTAAACATCCAATAATCAAGGCAAATGAAATTTGTTTTTATCTGATTTGTAGTGAGGTAGAATATTGTATGAAGAGTAAGGCCAAGTGATGATACCAAAAGGCTGGCTTAAGGCTCTATTGAACAATTTTTTTAGTCCTAAATTTGATGAGTAGTTTGAGTGACAACAAGGATTTTGGAAAGACCAATGAGGATAAAATTCAATCTCTTTTTTTGTACATATGAAGCAAGTGATCATTATGTATGACATATTCTAAAAAATTTTGTCAATTTTAAAATATGCATAACATGCAATAACTTTCATAAACTTTAAAATTATGTATATGCTACTCATGCTCAAATATTTATTTCTTAGCCCTAAAGGTGCACACAAGTTAATATCTCTAGAATGCCAACATAAGCATCTCTCTCCAACAATGTAAGTAATTGTTTACTTTAAAATTTTATATAGAACTATTGGCCAAAAAACTTCTAAAAATTAAGACTGTCAAACAAAAACAATTGAATAGGCATAAGCCATGAAATTAGAAATGAAGTTGAAATTTTTTATCCTTAAAGCAGTAGAAAAAACTTTCTACAAATTTCAAGTGATAAAAAAACAAAAGAAATTTTCTTTTATTTCGAAAAATTTACCCATTATGCTCTTTCAAGTAATAGAAAACACAAGAAATTTTCTTTTATTTCAAAAAAATTACCATTATGCCCTTTCAAGTGATAGAAAACACAAGAAATTGCCATTTATTTTAAAAAATTACCAATTTTACCCTTAACCCTAGATATGCTAAGAAACTTCATATATTCTATGTTATTGCAAAATCTAGGAACACCACCGGCAATTTTGTGTATGTAATGCTTTTTCTACATTAATTCTTTGCTCACATATATATCTCTTACAGAACTGAAACGAACGACATGAGTGTGCCCATAATATTGAGGTGGTTCGAAAGAGCCTGTTCGTATCCAAATTAGATGCTACTGGGTGCATCTCGAGGTTGGAAGAATTTTAATTGTAAAAATGAAATTCTCAGAGTTATTAAAAAAATAAAGAAAGAATTATATATATATATGTGTGTCCTTTTATATATATAATCAAGTTTGGCGAGAGACAATGATACGAGCCCTCAATCAATCTCATGTGCCTAATCACTCGACTTAATCGAACATAGGCGAATTCGAACCCCCGACACCAGGGGACTTAGAACTTACTTCGCAAATGCCAACCAAAGAGTCGGGGAACCCCCCAAGAATTTTGAGACATGATGAAGTGGATCTCATACCTTCTATAATAAAGAAAATGATTAAGAGAATGATGACATGGCGAGTTCTGCCAGGGGATTGCAAATGCCAACCAAAGAGGGAGACTGTATCCCACCGCAAATCAATCATCATGACTTTTTAATATCGTTTTGTACCGTGTCATTATTGCGCAAAGGAATATTTTATTTGAAAAAGAAATACAGATTGTTGGCCCTGGGGAATTAGATGACTTGTGGAGATTCTTTTGTCAGTTGGATCAATGCTGATTTTAAAAGGGAATAGAGCAGATTTGGCGAAGCATTGCATCCTTGGTGTTCCACGAAGAAGGGTTTCAGTTACATTACGAAGGATGGAAGATAGCAAGGTGTCATACGGATATAGGCCCGACATAGATTTGGAGGGACTATGTTCACTTGAGTTGTGAGATAGCTGTACCATTTAAGTATATGCAAGGGGCTTTTTTTCCTGGAATGTGGCTTGGGAGGTTAGCTTGATCACAAGACGACCTCAAGGGAAAGACAAATGTTTGCTACTTTTTACACTACGCCAAATCAGGGAGGATATGACACAGGAGATTAAAATTTCTATATGGATGTACTCATGATATTGTTTTAAGTGGCGTTAGCATATGATCAGTTGTGCTGCATTTCAGAAAAGAATTAACAAAGATCATTTGTTGTTGCTTCGACATGTGTTTTTGAAGTTTCACGTTTGTGTAATTGATAAAAAGTCGCAAGACCATACGTTGATCTCAAACTGTAACGAACAAAGAATGATACAAAGAAAGTCTGACAATAAATGAAATTAAAATTCAAAGTTAAAAGAGAATAAAAGAACATTAAATTAGGAAAATATACTAATAATAGGAGAAAATAATGGAAATAATAAAAAAATTTACTCGAAACTCCACACTCTTTTCCACACAAATTCTACCATTCACACAAATTTCCACAACTTCCACTCTCACAAGATTCCTAAGCTCTGCACGAAATGCCCACAAGTTCTCGCATTCCTTTTCGCCATGTTTTCCGTACTCATCAAATCTTCGGGGTTGGTACCTAAATACTGATTCCCATCTCGGGATCAATACCTAAATTTTGATTCCCTTTCGCTACCTCTTGTGTTGGATGTAGGTCCCTAAGCTTTCCTTCTGAATGTAGCAAAATCAAATCTTTGGTTCGGTACTTATATTCTGAGCCCCATCTCGGAATCAGTACCTAAATTCTGTTTCCCTTTCGCTTCCTCTTGGGTTAGATGTGAGTCCCTGAGATTTCCTTCCCAATGTAGAAAAATCAAATCTTCGGGGTCAATACCTAAATTTTGATTCTCATCTCGGGGTTAGTACCTAAATTCTGATTCACTTCCACTACCTCTTGGGTTGAATGTGAGTCCTTGAGCTTTCCTTCCCAACGTAGCAACATCAAATCCTTGGGGTCGGTACCTAAATTTTGATTCATTGTCGCTACCTTTTGGGTTTGATGTGAGTTCCCGAGCTTTCCTTCCCAATGTAACAAAATCAAATTCTTGGGGTTGGTAACTAAATTCTAATTCCCATTTCAGAGTCAGTATCTAAATTATGATTCCCTCCGCTACCTCTTGGGTTGGATGTGAGTCCCTGAGCTTTCCTTCCCAATGTACAAAATCAAATTCTCGAGGTCGGTACCTAAATTTTGATTCTCATTCCGGGGTTGGTACCTAAATTCAAATACCTATTTTAGGGTAAGTACCTAAATTCTGATTCCCTCCGCTACCTCTTGGGTTGGATGTGAGTCAATGAACTTTACTTCCTAATGTAGCAAAATCAAAATCTCGAGATTGGTACCTAAATTTTGATTCTCATCCTCGTGGTCGGTACGTAAATTTTGATTCACATCCTGGGATCAGTACCTAAATTTTGATTACCTCTGATACTTTTTGGGTTGGATGTGAGTCTTTGAGCTTTCATTCCTAATGTAGTAAAATTAAATTCTCGAGGTTGGTACATAAATTTTGATTCTCATTCTAGGGTTGGTACCTAAATTCTAATTCTCATCTCTGGGCCAATACCTAAATTATGATTCCCTTCTGTAACCTCTTGGGTTGGATGTAAGTCCCTGTTCTTTCCTTCCTAATGTGACATTCTCATCACTTTAAAATAGGTGTGAGACCCCCTTAAATTGAGTACGACATCCTATTCTTATTTTAACACTTCGAGATGGGTTGAGACCCTCTTAAATGAAGTAAGAGATCCTATTCTTATCTTAGCACTTTGAAGCAGGTATAAGGCCCCCTTAAATGGAGCAAGTCATCATAGTCCTCATCTCAGCACTTTAAGATAGGTATGAGGCCCCCTTAAATGGAGTAAGACATCTTATTCTCACCCCAGCACCACTCGTCACCTCTTAGGTTAGATGTTAGTCTATGTGCTTTTCTTCCGAGTATGCACTCTCCACATTTTTGTTACCTTTTGGGTTGGATGTGAGTCCCCGTACTTTCCTTCCCAACGTAGCACTCCTTTTCCTCACCAATCCTTGAGTTGGATATAAGTCCCCGGGCATTCTATCTCAACCTAGACTTCTCACTTTTCTGAATTTAAAATTCCATAAAATAACAAATTTAACTCAAAAATTTAATTCAAAATCAAAGTTGAAATCACAAATTAAAATCTAAATTCAAATAAAAAATGAATTGAGATTGTCGCGACTATCGAGTTCCCAACAAGGAACCTTGATGGTTTCCCATATAAACTCATAAAATGCCCTTTTATAAGGACAAAAAAACCAAGATCATAATTAAATTTCAAAGCTTCAATCGAAGGTTCACCCGCTACTCCCCAGCGGAAGCCTTCTTCACTCATTCTACGCTTTGTTCTAAGTTTGTTGGCTTGGAACATCTGTATTGGTTTTGTTGATCTCCTAGGTCAATGTCAATACGTGTGGTGTGCTAGTCCGTCACACCACACCTATTGAGAGTCTATTTGTTGACCTCACATTTGTTGAGGTCTGGTCTTTCTTGTTTTTTCTCCTTAAAACGCTTAGAATTTAGCCATAGGACTTTCTTGTTGACTATCCTAGAGGACTAGGAATGGAACCCTACCCCCTTAGAAATTCTAAACACCTCTTTACTCTTCTTGGAGTTCCACATGTTTGGTTTTGCCCTCTACTACTTAGTGGGATGGAACCGGCATGGGGGAGCTCAAGAGTTCCTATAGGATTATCAAGCCTTAGGGTTTGCCCTGGGTGGCCTGGGTTTGGTCTTGGTCAGACCTGCACACACACACACACTAATAGTCAAATCCCTCACACACATTCCAAAAACCCTAAAATCACCTCCACTTAGGTTGTTTCCCCACTCTTTTGGAAACTCATGTGGATGGTCCCCAAGCCCTTGACCTTTGGCTAAGGTGGTTAGGACCAACACATGGAGAATCCAAAATGGGTGCCCATTGGTCTCATGGCCCCAAAGGGGCATCCTTATGATTAGCATCTTCAATAGCTTTCAATTTCACCTAAACATCCAATTTTACCCTCCTACTCCTAAATTTTCA